CTTCTTGACTTGATGGTTTGTGTCAAGAAGTCTGCCATTATTCTGATGGGCATTCCTCTATAGGTTATCTGTTTCTTGTCTCTAACAGCTTTTAATATTTTGTTCTTATATTGAATTTCTGGAATCTTGATTATTATATGTCTGGGTTTAGCTCTGTTTTGATTGTAGGTGGCTGGAGTTCTGTATGCCTCATATATCAAAATATCATTTCCTTTTCCTATGTTTGGGAAGTTTTCCTTAATTATTTCTTGAATAGCCTTTGTAGTTCCTTTGTTTGTACCCCTGCTTCTTCATTCACATTCTTTATTCTCAAGTTATAGATCCTCTTGTCATCTTCTAGCCTTTGTATTATTACTGCTTGTTTCTTTGTTATTTTTAAAAAGTTTTCCCTTTCATAATCGCACATTGCAAAACTGTCCTCCAGTTTGGATAATCTATCCTTAGTTTCTTTCAAGCAGATTTGCCAATGAGTTTTTAGTTTCCTGGTAATCTCTTTGAATCTGCTTCATGTATTCTATATTTTCTTTATATTCTTCATCAAATGGTTCTCTCCTTTGTTTGAGTTCCTCCCTTCTTCCATCTGTGTCTGCTTGAGGGGTGCTTAGCATCTCTTTTATTAGTCTTCCTATATCTTGCTTTACTTGGCTAAATATTTCATTTTGAACTTGTCTATGAGGTCCCCAAGATATCTCTTTATGTCCACTGGTGCCATGTCTGACATTGTATGTTTACTGTTCTCATTCTCCTTTGTATTTACCTGTCCTTGGTCAATGTTCTCAGGTTTGGGACCCGGGAATTTTTTGTTGTTGCTTTCTCTTCCTATATTTTTTGTTTCTTCCAAGAGGCCCCAGTTTCTTTTTTTGTTGGTTCCAATTCTTTTGAAGCATGCTGGATAGGTGATCCTTCCCACTGCAGTGTAATAGTGGGTTGCAAACAGGGGCAGTGTATGTTGGCCCCTCCCCTCCGGATCAGTCAAGCTGCTGTGCCCTGCACTGTATTCCTGTGCACCACCTCCTCTCTGGGTCAGTCAAACTTCTGAGACTTTTACTGCTCCGCCACCAGGGACTTGATTTCAGATAACCTATTGGATCTCAGCCAGGTCATGTGACCCAGGCCTACCTCACGCCACCAATCCTGTTTGGGAAGGGAACAACTGACGGAAGTCACTGCTGCCCCTTGTACTTTCCAGTGCTGTCCAGTCCCAAAATGTTGTCTGCTGGAGCCCCTCTTTGTGTGGCATAGCTCCACTCCCATCACTCCCCACAGGTCAATGCAGGCTCCCCACCAGCTCAGCTCTCCATTCAGCTGGTCAACCCCTGATCTTAGCGTGACTGCGCCTCCAGTGAGTCGAAGCAGGGGGACCTTGGTAGGCTTGGCAAGTTGCCTGCTATACTGGGAACACTGAACCTTTAGCTATTCCAATAATAGCACTGGGGCTGTATGTTTGATTGCTTCTTCTCACCTTAGTTTCTTCTTGGGATGAGAGAATTCATCTCTCTGTTTGGGGCTCTCTGTCCTGTATTCTGTTGAATTCTAAGTTGACTATCTCAGGGAGCCTCTGTAGCCAGCTGTTATCTATCCACCATCTTTGTTCCCTCCCAAGGTTATAGATCCTCTTGTTGTCTTCTAGCCTTTGTATTGTTACTGCCTGCTTCCTTGTTATTTTTAAGAGATATTTCCTTTCACCATCAGACATTGCAAACCTATCTTTAAGGTTTGTTAATCTATCTCTAGTTTCTGTCAGGCAATTTTTCCAGCTTTCAATGGAGTTTTTAATTTTCTTTGAATCAGTTTCATGTATTCTATGTTTTCTTTATATTCTTCATTGAATGTTTCTCTCCTTTTTTTGTTCCTCCATTCTTCCATCTGTGACTTCTTGAGAGGTGCTTAGCATTTATTTTGTTAATCTTCTAATATCTTGCTTTATTTGAATAAATATTTCAGTTTTGAGCTCACCTATGATGTCACAAAGATATCTCTTTATGTCTGCTGATGCTGTGTCTGATATTGCATGCTTGCTGCCCTCAATCTCTTCTGTATTTACTTCTCTTGGATCAATATTTATAGGTTTGGGAGCTGGGGGCTTTTAAAAATTTTTTTCTCTTGTCATGTTTTGTTTTTTTCCATACAGGTATATATTGGAGGTGCTAGCCCCTTTCCTTGTTGGTTATGGTTCTTCTGAATCATGCTGGCTAGGGATTTCTGCCCTCTCCAGTTTGCTGTTGGTCATTGAGATGCAAGCAGGGGCATTGTATGTTGACCTCTCCCTTCTGGGCCAGTCAACAGGGGGGGCATTTACATTACTGTGTGCCATGTGTACAGAAATGGTTTGGGACAGCTTATTGGGTCCCAGCCAGGGACGTGACCCATGCCAAGCAGATCCCACCAATCTGCTCTGGATAGGGAGCAACCAACTGACATCACTGCTATTCCTTGTTCCTGCCTATCCTGCCGGATTCCAACATCTTGTCCAGTTGGTCGCCCCTTTCCCGTGGGAGGGTCTTATTCTGAGCACTCACCTCAGGTTACCGTGGGTCTCTACACTGGCTCTGTTCTCCTTGGGCTCGCCAGCCTCCAACTTCAGCGTGACCACAGCTCCGGCAGCAAGCATGCCAAAACCATGAGTTTAGGTGGCTCCAGGGAGAGTGTCATGGCCTCAAATCTGAGCTGCTCCAATGGTAGCTCCACAACCATGCATTTGACCATCTTTTTTCCCTTTAGTTTCTTCCTGGGTCGAAAGGATCCATCTCCCTCTGTTTGGCCCTCTCCAGGAGGTTTTATTCTGGCATCTGAGTTTTTTCTCTCAGGGAGGCTCTGTATTTTGCTGCTCACTAATCTGCCATCTTTAGCTCCCTGTGAATGCACTCTTTGAGTTATAGAATTTATTTCTTCTGCCATTTGCCTCCATATATAATGTACTTATTCTTTTTTTTTTTGTCTTTTTCCTTTTTATTGGTACTGGGGAATCGAACTCACGACCGCCTGCTTGCATGGCAGGCACTTATACTGCTGAGCTAAATCCCCAGCCCCACTTATTCTTATTTAATCTAGATTTATAAAATTATCTGTTGATGTTTCCTAATTATATGATATTTATTTTTTCCTTTATCCTCAGATTAATGCTAGACTTATTTAAACATTTACTGAGTGTGTGTATTTTGTCTTATTTTGTCTTCAATTGTTCCTGAAGTTTGGAAGAAGACTGATGATCTTATTTCTGAATGGTGAGACTTGTTAGCAGATGTATCAGTCCTTTCATTCCTGGTCACCTCCCTTCTGCTCCAAACTGTCCAGGCTCTATCTACTCTAGTCCTGTGTACAGCTGCCATCCAGGTGTACTCACTACTGGCTGAACCCTGTTTCCTCAATCCCACATCTTCTGTCTTGGTTTGCAACCTAGGTTTGTTGGAGCACATTCTGAAGCAGTTTCTTAAGACAACATGCTCTGGAAGTCGATATATTGGAGTTTTTGAAAATGGTTGATTTGACCTTCACATTTACTGATAGTGGCTAAATAAAGAACTCCAGGTTGAAAATAACTGTCCTCTCTCTAAAATGTTGAAGGCACAATTCTGTAGCCTTCTGGCCTCTAGTGTTGATGCTGAGGAGTCTGTTATTTTAATTCATGGTACTCTGGTTGTGCCTTTTCTTCAGCTCTCTAAAAGTATTTTGGGTTCTTCCTTATCTTTGGTTGTAGTCTGATGTTAAATATCTCCAAAGGCCCGGGGGCTTAAAGAATTGGATTTGGAAAGTTCTTACTGGGACCATGCCCTCAGAGGACAGAGTGGGATCGAGCCCCTGTCCCGTCTTCTTTTTGGCTTCCTGGTTAGGAAGTGAGCACTGTTCCTCCACCATATGCCCTTGCCGTGCTGAGCTGCCTCGCTGCAGGCCCTAAAGCAATGGGGCCATCAGCGATGGACTGGAATCTCCAAAAACATGAGCCACAATAAATCTTTCCTCTTTAAAAATCAACTGTAGTATTTTGTTACCATGATGGAAAGCTGGTTGACACATTGGTCTCAAATTTCAAAATTGGTATCTTTTAAAATTTGTAATGATGAACCTTCAAATACCATTTCCCATGTGGAAATTCCATGTGGAAATTCATGGGAATTTTTTTTTTTTTTTGGTCTTTTTCGTTTTTATCGGTACCAGGGATCGAACTCATGACTGCCTGCTTGCAAGGCAGGTGCTTACGCCACTGAGCTAAACCCCCAGCCCCAGGAATATTTTATAATTTTTTCAAATAATCATTTCCTCCCATCTGTTTTCTTTATTGTATCTTTGGTTCTTTAATTTACCTACTTTGTTTTTCATCTGTTTTCTACTTTATTCTGGCAGTTTTCCTTTTATGGAAATTTTATTTCAACAATTATATTTTATAATATCTAAGTGTTCTTTCTTATTCTGATTGTTTTCCATAAAGAACATTGTCTTATGTCTTTGTACATTTTGCTGAAGTTTGTTTTGATGTTTCCTTCAGCTTCTTGCATTGTCTCATGATAACTGCCCTGTGCCTGGCACACTAGAGATCCTCTTTAAATGTCTATCGGTCCTTTGCATACGTATTTCTAAGTGGCCGTTGGAGTGGCTGTCTGCTCTGTGTGCTTGGGTGGAGGATGAGGAATTTTTGACAGTGGAAATTACCAGTGTCAATAGATGGAGTGTTTTCACTGGAGAACTGAGTTACTCAAGGGAAGAAACCTCTAATTTTGCCTTGGGACAAGCTGCGTGTAGCAGGAGCAAAAAATGGGACTCAGGAATCTCTGTGAAATATTTGGACTGCGATCCTCTTCTCTTCTGCTTCACTTTAGGCGAGGATAAGAGGTTTAAAAGCTACTCAGACATGACCCTGTAATCCTATCTGTTAAATCCCCTTAAATATTGTACACATTGAGTTTCCCTGAAAATAAGATCTAACCAGAAAATAATCAGCCTTAAAAACTAGAGATCAAAAATGCCAGCCCCATCAGCCTGTCCTTGTTTTACTCTCATTACAGAGGTGCCACCAAGCAAGAGAATAGTGAGGTAAGATCTGCATTACACTGGCCACCCTCATGGGAACAAGCAGCTAAGAGTCATTTTCCAAGTAAGTTTTATTTTGGGGAAAATGTGGTATGTTTTCTGTTGATTCTGTCCCTCTAGACATTCTTAACTAGTACAAATGGACTGAAAATATTTTTAAAAATCACATCGATAGGTTTGGGGATTTAACTCAAAGGCAAAGTGCCTGCCTCCCAAGTGCAAAGTCCTGAGTTCGATCTTCAGTACCCCTCCAAACTGTATCTGCACTGAACATGTATAGAATGTTTTTTGTCATTATTTCCTAAACAATGCAGTATAACAGTTACTTATCTCATATGCACATGATAGCCAGTAGGATAAGTACTAAGGATAACTTAAAGTACTGTGCAGGGAAAATGCATGTGGGTTATATGTGACATTTTACACAAAGAACTTGATCATCCCAGAGTTCTGGCACCCACGGGGCCTTGGAACCATTCCTCCACAGATACCAAGGACAGCTGCATGCAGATTCCCACAAAACCCTCTTCTCAGCCCGCACCTGGCCTTCACTTTCCCTGTATGTGTTGCCTCCAAGTCCTGAGTCCGTCAGGGTTCCTGCTGGTGTGGCTCTTCCTTTCCAAATGCTTATGTTTGTATCTTCCTTTGCTAATCTTCCTCTTGCATCTGCTTTCTGTCTTCCAGACTTTGTGAAATCTCCTATCTATAATTATCTCCTCTTATATTCTCCCAGCCTTTGGGTTTATACTGTCAAAAACTGCATCTGCCTTCATTTCTGTGGGGTGTTGGGTGGAAGGATAAGCACAGGTAGTCCTGTTGGGTAGAATCTGCATTTGTTTTTATTCCACCTGGGCTCCCTGGGCTTCTCTCCCATCTCTTGACAGGCTGAGCTCTCAGGGGTTGGAGAGCTGCTGTCCGAGTGATCCCAAGCCTGGCACTTCTGATGGTGTTGGCTCTTTTGGGGCTCATGTCGGGAAATTAGAGCCTATTGAGAAATAAAACACCACATCTGGCTCTGTCTCAGGGACAGAGATTAGCAGAAGTCTAGAGACTTTGTCAAGGCTACTTTGTAGGATTGTTTTACCCAGGACGATGATGGCATTGCTCTGGAGTGTTGGCACTTCACAGTCTTACCTCAGCCCCCTCCTGCCTCCCTACCTCATGACATGGACAGGAGCCAGGCTCAGGGAGCTTGAGCAGGCTGAATAGGTGACCAGGATCATATAACTAGGATGCGGCGAGCAGACTTAGGGTCTACCTGAAGCCAAAGCCAATCTCTCCTCACTCCACTTCTGTTTCCAAGACATGCTTCGTGTTCCTTCAAGAAATGAGGGGGCTCCAAGCTTTGATTCAGGACCTCTTGAGAGAGCCTGGAGTTGGGGGTGAAGTTGAATAACCTGGGACCAGTGGGTGAGCTTGCTTCTCTAAGACCCAGTGCTTCCGGACACGTCAGGCTGTGAGCACAAGGGCTGTGTCTGGGGTAGGGGGAGGATGCTCAGTCCTCTGGAGCCAGCAACAGGATTGAATTTCCAAGCTTGTCCTGAGCTGCCCACCTCTGCCAAGTTAACTGGGACTGGATCATCTGTGACTTCAACAAAGTATCATAAGTCTCCCAGGAGAGCCGGTCAACTGGTTCTGCTAATAATGTGCCTGAAGTTCCAAACCTAAATCCTGTTCTAGCTGCTTCGGGGCATCTCTGCTCAAGATCTGGGGGTGATTCAGAGAGAGGGAAAAGCTGTAGAGATAAAGCGGCCACACTATAGGTATAGAAATAGATATCATGGGTGCAGAAATAGATGTAGATGCAGATCTAGAGATAGCACCAAAGAGATCTATAGCCAAAGGCACATTTTAAAAATAGCTGCTACCATGAAGACTGCCCTCCAGGGTCTTCCTGCTGTGGTAGAAGTGGGACCATGTAGGCAAGATGCTGGCTGCACTGGCAGCCACTCTGGCCCTCACCATCCTGGATGCCCGCCGTCCCTTGCTTCCCATCTATGAGTGACATGCTGCTTCACTTCAGGGGTTGTGTGAGTGTCGGTCTCACGGGACTCAGGCAAGTAGGAGGAATAGCAGCTGGAGATGCAGTGAGCTGGCGAACCCACTGTATGATGTAAGATGTTTATAGGGGAGCCGGAGGAGGTCCGAGGGGGCAGGAAATGCTTCCTGATGAGGGGAGGCTGGCGGAGGCTGCAGGGAGAGCAGAGGAGCGCTGGGCCGTGAGAATGTTTTCAGCGTGTAACATGTTCAGGGAGGGTACTTGGTAGGAAGCCTGCGGGTTGGCACACAGTGAATGAGAAGAGAAGAGGCACAGAGGGTGGCAGGGGTACAGGCACAGGCCTTCTGAACTGGTGACTGGTCTTTGCATGTACTCGACAGGGCCTCCTCCTGCTTGTCCACAGGCTCTGCCACCCTCGGCTGCATCATGGTGACTGTGTCTAGCTGCATCCTGGGATCTCACTCTTTTCCTTCCTCTCCTTGTCTCACCTGCACTGAGACTTCAGGACCTGGGCCACAGTTTAGAAGCCTTTTCGGCAGGGTTAGCCCTTAGAGACCTAGTGAGAGAAAAACCATTGGATAACCTGCTTCTTTGGCACTGCCTCGAGGAAATGGGATGAAGTCCTGTTTCACATTCTCTGACCTCTACAGAAGCCTCAAGAGCCCAGCTCTGAGCCTCTCACAGCATGTCCGCTTTGGGAATGAGCCACTCTGGAAGCACTCTGGGATGCAAGGCAGGGGAAGACGATTCAGACAGCAAACCTGAGAGGACTGTCGCCATCAGGCCCCGCTGGGTGTGCAGTATATCCTGCTATTCTAGAACCAGACCTGTTCTGTTATTTCCTTTGATTAAACTCCTGTTTTCTCTCAGTCTTCTAGATCCATCTTTCAGTTATTTAATTCTAAATGTAATAAAAACCCACTGAACTGTACATTAACTCAATATGAGGCTGCAAAGCAAACGCAGGCCTGGGCGGTGGGACTGAGCAGAGCAGATCCACAGGGCTTTGTTGTTTCCATGGGCTCTGGCACGGAAGAGCTGATGGTGTTTTCATTCAGCATGCAGGGGTGTTCGGAGGCACACTCAAAGGCAGGAGGGGAGGCTCAGCCTGTGCTGTGGATAGCACAGCTTTGTGATTTTCCTCCATCACAGCTGCTCTCCATGGAGGTGCTTGGAGGGTCATATCATGTGCCCCCACTCACCTGTGTTTGGAGGTGGCTGGTTATGCTCCAGCATCCTGTACCATATGTTGCAGACTTGAGTTTACTGAAGTAAACTCACTGGGTTTGCTTATAAAACCACAACTGCATGCTCTGATCCACTCCCAAGCCTCCTATAAAACTATTCTTCCATTTCCAGTTTCTATCTTTATTTTTTGAGATGAGGTCTTGCCCAGGCTTGTGTCACATAATAAACTCCTAGTCTCAAGCAACTCTCCTGCTTCTGCCTCTTGAGTAGGGATGTGCCACCACTACAGGCTCCAGCATCTATCCTGGAAGTTCATTTCCCTCTTGGCTTTGCCCCACCTCATAGATAGCTTTGATTTCCTGGGCTTTTGGTCCCTTCAGGCCACTGTACAACTCTCCCCAGAACTAGTCTTCCTGCTAGCCTGGCTCATTAAGGACATGTGCTGCCCGTCCTGATGAAAGGGGTCACAGTGGTGAGATGGCTGCTCTCATGTGGCCATCCAGTACCTGAAAAGCCTGATCCCATAGCTGAGTCTGGATGCAGTTTCCCACTGGGGTCTGGCTAAGGAGAATTGCTCCACTACGGACCCCCAGATTAACAGTTTCCATGAGAGTAGGATCCAGAGTATTTCAAAATAATGAAGAGACTCAGCCAAGGAGTGAGTGAATGTGAGTGCAGTGAGGGAGGGAGCTTGGAACAAGCTTCCGTGTTCCTGGAATGCGCGGTTACAATTTAGAGCAGAATCTGCAGGGCAATAGTCAGAAAAATCCACAATAGTGTTCTCAGTAATGATTGTACCCCACCCCTCAAGGTGGCTTAAATGTCAACATGTGTCACATAACAAACCATCCCATTCTGGCCCTGTTTCCTGACTTGAACTTCTATACAATGTTACAAATGCTTTTTTTCATTTGTAACATTCTATATCTTTGGTCTCACGTCCTTGTGTTACAGATAACACAAGGGGTCTCAGCTTGGGGTTGTTTTCTGTAAGGCTGTCTTACGGCAGAAGAAGCCCTTCTGGGTTCTTGGTAATTGAACTGTCTCATCTCTGAGTAATCTGTCATCCTCTGTGCTGTCAGGATCACACAAAACAGGCATGGACCAAGCCTTGATCAAACGTGGCCACAGCACTCTGTAAGAAGCTGGGTGAACACTGGAGTGTGGGGCCAGGGCGAGCCTGTGGGTTCCAGGGGGAGGATTCTGAGTGAACAGGGTCAGTGGGCAAGCAGGGAGGCCTACAAGCAGCACCTACCTACAAACCAGGCCATGTTCCTCCACTAAATCTTCTGTTCTGGGTACATCACTGCTCAGGAGTCCTCAGGTTTCACTGAGTGACTGTGGGTTATAAACACAGTGCACTCTGGAGCAGCTTGACCTGAGGGACCTGAGGGACCTTCAGGCTAGCGAGGCTTTCCTAGGGCTGGGCCATGTTGCTGCCTGCAGGTTCCTGGTTGTCCTAGTCCTAGTCATTGCTGAGACAAAACACCTAACACCTAACACCTAAAATTAAAGGAGGGAAGGAGGAAAGGTTTATTTTAGCTCAAGTTTGTAGAGGTTTCAGTCCATAGTTGGCTGGCTCTGAGGGAGGCATTGTAAGGGAGAAACAGTTCATGGTATAGAAGGCAGAGGGCAGGAGGCAGCAAAAGCAGTCAGTACCCAGAAATGGCAGAAGCCCTCTTTCTGTTCCTTAAATTCTATCTAGGCTACCTACCCTTAGGACAAAGCAGCACTCACACCCAGGGTGGGCCTTCCCATCATCCATACCCAGAACTATGCCAAACCAGTCTCTGGGCTAATTTAGTAATCACACACCTTTGATCCCAGTGTCACACATTTTAGATTCAGCCACCTCTTAAAAGTCCACCTATGACTATATGAGGCTTTGGGGGACACCTAGACACAAGCCATCACACAGGGAAGAAGTACATGAAGGTCAAGAACTCAGGCATGGTGTCAGACAGTTCTTACTTTGACAAGTGGCTTAGTCATGAGTCGTGACCTTGGGAATAATGCTTACTCCTGCTAGGGCTTGTTCTCCTCATCTGAAATATGTAGCTAATCAGGATTGTCTCACAGGGGCCTTAAGGGTACAATGTGTTAAGACATAAAGCACCTACATTAATTAAGGGAGCACTTAATTCATGCTAACTACAATTATTATAATTAGCTCAACTCTGATGGCCCAGTGTTTACCCATGGACAACTTGATCAAGTTCATATTCAACCTCAGCTCTCCACTGGGACACCATAAGCTACATACTCAATACTACATGAAGGCCAGGGGTTTAGCTCAGCTGTATAAGTGCGTGCTTGGCAAACGCAAGGTCATGTGCTCGATTCCCGGTACCAAAAACAACAACAACAACAAACTATGTGAAGTATAAATACATGAACAAGATGCTTGCTGTGAACACCTGATTGCCCCATATACCACCTCCTTACCTATTTGCTGTGGAGAATTCCTAACTGTTATAGTATGTTCCCTGATTCCCACAGAAGGTCACCATGACCTACAGGCCATGTCCACAAGAAGGCCAGGGAACTGACAGAAGGAGGGCCTTTGACTCTGTGGGAAGCCAGCTGTTCACTGCCGAGGCAGGGGGAGCAGACAGCAGGGGGTGAGACAGTAAGGTTTCCTGAGCTGGGATCTGGGGAACCCAAACCAAAGATGGGGCTCCCAGGCCCAGGCAGGGTGAGGGTCAGTCTGGCAAAAGGACAGGAGGGCCTGAGCTGCTTCTTCATGGTCTTTCTCTGGAGGATAACCAGACCTTCACAGTGCCAAGCAGGGCTTGTTTCAGGATTGCTTCTTCAATGCTGATAATTGAATCCTGGGCCTTGTGCATACAATGGCAGGCTTGTTTCACAGGGTATGGTTACAGGAGGAGATGTGCTTTGTTTCAGATTTTTTTCAGATGCCTGCATGGAGGAAGATTACTCAGCCAATCTGTCTTTCTTTCTATCTATCTCGTGGAGAATCAGGGATCACATCTCAAATCTGTTCTCCCTGTTAGAGCTGACAATGTACAATCTGCTAAGCATGGAAGAAATAAAGATGGGTGCCTCATTGCTAGCAGCACTGTTTGCACTTATAAACCTAACACTGTTGATAAGAATGGTCCTCACACCTTTGCAATAGAGGTAATTGCTTACTTTTTTGGAATTGAGTTTGCAAAACAGTCATCATGTATATTGACAGAGTCTTACACTCAAGTACAAGGGTCCATTGCATCATCTTAGAGATGCTCTTTAGTGGCCTGGTGCCCAGGTCCCTCCCTGCATGCCATGCCTTTGCTGTGCTGCCACCCTGCAAGGTGCAGAAGATGCGCAAATATACATGGGTCTGTTGCTGCTCACGTTAGGGACATAAATAGGTAAGGCTGTGATTCCTACTTGTCAAACACTAAAGCTTAATTGGGCCAGAAATACTCCCTGGCTCCTGCCTCTGCAACACAGATCTCAGCTGTCACTAAGCATCTGTGGTACCCGGTAGGGACAAGTGGAGTTCTGTGGGCTGCAAGCTTGGAAAAGGAGCAGACTTTTTCCCTTCTGTGCCAATTATGTGCGCAGCATTTGATTTTCTTTGTGTGTCTGAAGCTATGGCCCTGGGGTTGGCTTACCTGGTACTGTGCTTCTGAGAAGCTGCCTGCTGATCCTGAAGCAGCATCGTCAGGGCTAAGGACCTGAAACGGAGGCACTGCTCAGGAAGCCCCAAGAAGCAAGCCGGGGAGCTCCGACAGGTGGGAGGGTGGCACACACTGACAGTCCTGTTCAGTGAGCATTCATTAAGCACACTGTGTGCTGTCAGGGAGATACACATGCAAGCAAACATGTAGATTTGATGATATCTGGCAGTGAAATGTGCTTTGAGGAAAAATGAAGCAATGCAAAGACAAGACAGCAGGGGGTTGGTGTGGGTGAGGGGACACGGTACAGTACAGCAGGAAGACCCTCATGGGCGAAGAGCGCCACTCAACCAGCAAGAGCTGGAGAAAAGGGTAGGCAGGTGTATGGAGATTCAGCACTGGGGACAGTCTAGAGGCTGGAGGGTTTCCATGGGGAGTGCTGGGCAGTGCTTACTGACTACCCTTGGAGGGGCAGTCAGTAAGGAGGGCAGGGACTTTCATATGTCTGGGAGGAGAACTCTGTCCTGTGGAGGAATTCATTGCCTTATTCAGGCAATGGCACGGGGTGTCAGTACACAAGTGTAGCCAGTGATGCCTCCCTTCAGTGGAAAGGGGGACCAGCCCAGGGAAGGGGCCTGACTCCTCGAGATCATTGCCTGAAGGAAGCAGGCACCAGCCTGCTCCATGGTGCTGCTTTGGGTCCTGGACTAGGGCGCCAGCAGAGCTGGTGTGCTCCTTTCAGAAAGCAGAGGTGGGGGCCCAGAGGCCAGGTGGAGGCAGGTGGTGGGACTGCCAGAGTGAAGCCCAGATTTGGCTCCTATGCAGGGTCTCCTTTACCCCTCAGGCAGTTCCTGGAAACCTATTCTTGCTGCCTTTCCCTAGATCTCTGCCTGGCTTCCAGTGCCTCCTTCCGTTCTTCCCTACTCTCTTTGCCCTAAAATCCCTTCCTGTATTTCCTGTCCAGGGCTCCTGGTGTGGGGCAGTGGGGCACATGAGAGACTGCTTTCCCTTAGCCACCTTTGCGTGGAAACTGAGATCCTACAAGTCCCCAGAACAGG